TGTGTCCCCCTCCATCCCCGCTGTCCCGCCGCCCCATCCGTGCTCTCTCCTACCTGTCGGGTGGCGGCCGGCGGGGCCTTGTTGCTGCCGTCGAAAGGGGGTGCGGGGGCGGCGCTGGCCTCGGCCGCCCCGCCCGGGGGGGGTCCCTTGATGGCGTTGGAGCTGAGGGCACCCCCGGGAGCCGCCGCCCGCCCCGCCGGGGCCGCGCAGCTCAGCGCCGCCAGCAGCGCCACCAGCCCCCGCATCCTGGTGCCTCCCGTGCCCTCCCGCACCCGCAGAGTCCCCGACAGCAGCTCCGAGCCGCCAGCAGCGGCTCCTGCGCTCCTCCGCCGCCTTTATACCCCCGGGGCTGCCTCCTGCCCGCCCCTCGGGGCGGGGGGCCCGCCGCCTGGGATTTCAAAGCCTTCCCGGGGGGAGTGTGCCCGTGAGCCCCCAAAAACCGCCCCCACCCCGCCCCGAGGGCTCCTACATTGGTCGGGAGGGGGTTTCGCAAGGGCGAGGGCAGATCGCCCCCCCCACCCCACACCCAGCATCCCTCCCCCGGCATCTCCCGCCCCGGTTCCCGGCCAGATGCTCCGCACTCCCCGACGCCGCCGCTGTCTCCAGCCGGGCGCGCCCGACGGAGGGGACCGGGAAGAGGGACGGGGGGACACTCCCCCTCGTGCAAGCCCCTATAGTGGGTGGGAGCCGCTGTGGGTGCAGAGAGCCCCCTCCGCCCTCCCCCGATGGCAGGGTCGGTCCTTTGGTCTCCTCTAAGTCTCCCCCTCCCCGCCGCCTCCCCCGCGTCCTTCCTGGCGCCAGCGCAGCCTCGCAGGAAAGGAAAGGGGCTGCTCCGCATCCCCCCGCGCCCGGCGGTGTGCGGGGACACGGGGGGGGACACACGACGGGACTCTCCGTGTCCTCCCCCTACTCCCCTGACCCCAGCCGGGCCGGGGGGGCAGCGACGGTGGGGGGGAGCTCCGGGCCCTTTGATGCGGGGAGATCAAAGGCGTCGCCCCCCACTTACCCAATTCCCCCCTCATTCCCTTTTTCCCTGCCCATTCCCTCCGTTCCCCCATTCCATCCATCCCCCCCATTCCCCATTCCCTTTTTTCCTGCTCATCTCCCCATTCCCTCCATCCCCCCCCGCCGCCCCCATGGGGCAGAGCGGCCCCAGGCCGCCCCCTGGCGGCCGCGCCGCGCCATCGCGCCCCGACTCCCCCTCCCCGCTCCGGTAATTAACTCTCGTTAATTAACCCCCGTTAATTAACCCGGCTTTTCCTCTTCGGCGGCCCCGTGCTCCCGTTTATTGCTTTTCGCAGCTTGGTTTCAATAAGAATACGAAGAGCCGGAGCAGCGCCTCCAAAATCCCCGGGGTGGGGGATTCCGGACGCTGCAATTCCTGCAATTAACGCCCCCCCCAATCCCGGTATCGCTGTCCCGGTACCCACTATCAGCTGTGCCAGCCCCGAATGGCTCAAACCGGGCTAATAATTGCCTGGGAGGGTTTCGGGAGCACGGCGGGCAGGTGCCGGCAGCAGCGGCTGAGTCACGGCCGGGCGACATCCCCAACACCCCTCCTGCCTTCCCTATTTTTAGTCTGGAATAATGAGCGCCACGCCTCGCCCCGAAATCTCGGTGTTCCCCTGGCAGTTTCAGGTGAGGGCCACGTCACCCTGAGGTTTTTATTGCATTATTAACTTCGACCCGCGATTGCTGCATCCCGCAAAATGAATGGTGACGATTCCCAGCTCCTCCTTGGGCTGTTACCACATTTATTTCCCTCCTGAGAGGATGTTTTGTTGCTACTTTCTCCCAGCTTTTGCTCACCTCTGTGTCATCATCAAATCATGGAAAGATTTTGAGTTGAAAGGGACTTTCAAGTCCATCCAGTGCCACCCCTACCATGGCCAGGGACACCTTCCACTGTCCCAGGCTGCTCCAAGCCCTGTCCAGCCTGGCTTTGGGCACTGCCAGGGATCCAGGGGCAGCCACAGCTGCTCTGGACAATCAGTTCTGGGAGCAGAACCCCAGATTTCACCACCATTACCCCACATTTTTGGAGCAGAACCCCCAGATTTCACCCTGTTACCCCACATTTCACCACCATCCAGAAGACCTCTCCCAAAGTCATCTCCTGCTCTGAAAGAAGCCCACCGACAGCCGTTCAAAAGTAATTATTTTTATTTCAACTCTATAAAGTATACAACAGGCACTCGGCAATTACAGCTGCAGGGGGAGTACAGAGCGAAACAAAAGCCATGGAAGTTTATGAAAAAAAACCCCAAAGTTCCTCAGTCAACATCCAAAGAGTGCAAGCAGCCGATGGCCGGGGAGTGACCGACATCGGCCCGACAAACAAAACCTCTGCCACGGAAGGAGAGAAAATCAGAGTATAAAACAAAGGGCTGGGGTAAAACAAGCGTAAATCGGGACTCAGGGTGGGGAGAGGCAACTCCAAATGGGAATTTCCCCTTTTTCTGAGAAAGCCCTAAAAGCGCCCAAGTCTCGGTGTCAGGGCTGGGGAGCCGAGGAGGAGTTTCCAGGGCTGATCCCCGTGGATGCAGGGAAAGGGGCAGGGAAAAGCACAGATCCTGTTTGGTTGAGTGGTGCAAATGAGCCTGGTCTTTGCACCGGGGTTTTAGGTCAGGAAAACACCAGTGGGGTGGATTTTTCCCAGGTGGGAGATTCCCGAGGGGGGCTGTGTGTGGGACAGCACGGATGGGTGGGATCTGCAGAGCTTAGCAAAACAGGAATACCTGTCTACGGACTGCTAGGATGTCAGAGATTAATTTGACCCGCACATCACATTTATACATTTCACAGAAATGACTCTGTATCTCATTAACAGATACACAGCTCTGGTACATTGAACAGAAATCAGAGAACGACGTCATCATTTCTGTAATTCATCAAGATCAGATAATAAAGGCTTAGAAATCGGTAGCAGAAAGAACTGTAAAACGCAGCAAGCTAAGAAAGGACGACGGTTTGAGGTGTGTTTGTCTTTGTCATGCAGCATAACACCAAATTTGTCTTTTTTTTTTTTTAATAAGATGCCATGGATTTAAGGCACTTGCAACAATGCCAGATAGCCAGTGACGTTCTAGAACTATGGGACAGGTGGGTGAACAGGACAGCTGACAGAAACTTTAATCATACTGACAAATATGACATTAATTCAAGTCTACCTCGACCTAAAAACATTACATTACAAATAAGGAAACGAAGGAATAATGCCATGGAACTGGAAAAGAACAGAAAGTTCTGTGTGACCCACAAAACATCGACACGAAAATACCTATTTACAGAAATATCTGCTCGTGGTCCTGTTGTTGAAGAAGAGTTTGCTGGAGGCAGTGCAGCTCCAGGAGAAGCCACACCACCCATCAAAGCCCCCTCTGGAAGCACGGGAGCCGATTCCCCCTTCCCTAAAAACGCTGTCGTCCCATAGATCAGGAAAGGAGACAAAGAAATAAGGACAGGAGGTGGAAACACAGAGGCAATCCCTTGTTGTGGATATATAGAGATATATATAAAGCAACTTAAATATATTATTATAACTGAAGGCTTATCATATACATATGCAAAGTGTTAATGCTCAGGAGAGGCCATGGAAGTCGAGTGAGGTGTTTGATACCAAAATAAACTCAGATTCAGCACAGTGCACGCTGCAGGTGTCAATTCCCATGCCTGGCACAAGGGAAAAAAGGGACAGGAAAAAGAAACCCAAGAGCTCAGCCCATTCCAGACCCTCCTTCCTGTCACGTTTTCAGCTTGATCCCCAAATCCTTGTGGTGCTTCGTCCTCCTTGCCTGCCAATTGCATCAGGTGTCACCATCCTGGGACAAACTCCTACAGAAAGCTGTCCCCACGGAGTGAAAATCCAGGGGGCTGTGAGGGAAGCATTTGGCTGTTAGGCCTGTTTAAGATGCCTGGTGAATGTTTTAGCCCTCGTGCTCAGCCTTGGCTCTCAGTGCTGTCCATCCCTTGGAGAGAGGCAGAAAAGCCAGCAGGTGCTGCCTTTTCCCTGGGATTTTGAAGGCAAATAAGTTTTAATGGTCAAAGAACAGCAGAAGTGACTGTGCCAGAGGTGTGGCCTCACCCTTTGGAAAACAGAGGGAATTCCAAAGCCACAGACTGGTTTCAAAGGTGTCACACGACCCAGCTCATGGTGAACAGCACACACGGCCCACGCTGTCAAAATACCCTTTTGATTACATCATTTAATAAAAAAACATGCAAAAGAGTTGGGACTTAGCATCAGGGAAGGAATTTTTTTGCTGCTCAAACAGACCTTTTCCATGTCATATGTGGGAAAAGTCCTTGTCAGCAAGACTTGACCTTTCCATGATCAGCTCTTGGCAGCTGAGGTTGAAAGGAGGCAGCACCCACTCACCCATGGCAAGGGCTGGAATGAAAGGACCTTTAAGGTCCCTTCCACCCAAACCATTCCATCATTCCATGATTCTGTGATTTTTTTGGGGTGAGGTCTCTCAGAGAGACCAAAAGCTGATGTTTCCTGTTGGACAATGGGATAAACTTTCAATCCTGTGTATATGTAACAAATGAGGACAGGATCCCTCTGCTACATCCTATAAACCAGAAGAGGGAATTCAAGCAAAGGAAAAGCAGTAGAAGTGAGGGAAAAACATGTCCTGACAATATTGTTTTCCCTAGTTCTTTTTTCCATATGGATTTGGCCATCCCTGTGTTAAACACAGTCACGTGGATCTGGCACGCTGGACACCTCACGGGGATCTTCCAATATCCATTTCCCATTGAATTCCACTGACTTTCCTGTGGAGCTCCTTAGCCTGGAGAGGCATCAGGACTACTGGCAATGCTCCAGCAGAGCCAGCAGACTGGCCCAGGGTTTCTGTTTAAACATGGAAGAGATGCAGACATGGAGACATGGAATCATCAACGGGGAGAACGGAGCCACTGCTACATACTCCTGACAGGATGGGTCAGGGACAAGTTCCTTCCCAGGTGAGGGATGGATGTAGCACCTCGAGAGGACATCACAGGTCTCATGTTTTTCCCTTTGGGCCTAAAAAGGTCCAAGTTATCCTTAATTTTATACCTAATCAGACTGGTGGGCTGCTGTCGCTTTGTTCAGGGCCGTGATTGGAGCACTGTGAAATGGATCAACAGATGTGAAATGGATCAATGGATGTACAATGGATCAATAGATTACAATGGATCAGTAGATGTACGATGGAGCACTAGATGTGCAGTGGATTCATTCCATGATTTTCTCTTG